AGAACGTATACAAAAATGAATCGCCGAAATATTTGTAAGCGCATTGCTTCGGAATAACATAACATCACACCTTTTATCCCCGAAGGGGTGGGCTGAGGTGCACATAATGCCACTGCACAATGTAACACCCACTTTTCACTATTTATGTTATGAGTCCCATGTAATAGGGGGTGAGCCTATTCCCATATACCGGGCACAATTCCAGACTCCGTGCTACTATTGAGATTTTTTTTAAAACCTAATAGTACTTTCGATGTTGAAAAAGTAACTGGAGTTTCTTATGCCGGAATACTGAAACGTTACTCAATTTTAAGACGTGCTCAAATATCGTGCCATTTCTGTCATTTTACAAAGAATTTGTAGAGATAGAACTATACTTAAGCACGACTTAAAATTGAGCAGCGTTTCAGTATTCCGACATTACTCGTTCTTCTTCACAGTATACCTTGGGACAAGGTAGGTTTACTAAGGAACCGACAGATAGGTAAAACAAGCTTTTAGTTCAACCTCCATGCAAAACTAATGAAATCTTCATAAAGTAAGTAACGTATTAATTGCACTGTTTTTTTAAAGGGGGGATTATCGTCGAATGACTGATCCCGCCTGGGTGAGGCGGGAGGGAGTGTCAGACTCTTACTGACTAAAAACCACCCCGTTCTTTCTCCTGCACGTCGAGCCGGAGCCCCGGTAACCCGTTAGGTTCTCCGCGACAATTGCACTGTTTAGCGTGGTGTATAGGCAACATACTGTAAAGCACGGATTTGATTCCCGTACGGAACAATTTACTGTGTGATCCACGAAATGTTATTCCGAGCTGGATGTGATGTCTATTGTGAAATTGTGTTTCTGTGGATGGATTTTTTTTTTTTTTGAACGACTAAAATCATCCAATGGCTTCGCCCACTTTGGGTAAGGCGAGAGAGGAATGGAGATAGACCAAGTACACTAAGTAAAATCTCAGTATCCTTACTAGACCTTACTAATATTATAAATCGGAAAATGAGTTTGTTTATTTGTTTGTTTGTTCCGCTTTAACGCCGTAACTACTGAACCGATTGCTTTGAATTTTTGCAGACGTAAAGTTAGAAGTCTGGATTAAATAATAGGGTACTTTTTATCCCGGAAAAATTTGGTATTCTCGAGGGAAAACGAAATTATTGGTATAGATGGCGCTGTGTGTATTGATATATGTCACATAGGCTACTTTTTATTCTTTTGTGACGCGAGCGAAGCCGCGGGTAAAAGCTAGTTTCAAAATAAAAAAAAGTATGAAGAATGAACTGACCTTCAATAACATATTCATCAAATTTGACAGTGCCTTCTGTCTCAGTCCTGACTGGTGGGCGGAACTTCTCCAGCAAGATGCGAACTGCACCTTCCCGCCCATGTCTAGCTGCTGCTATCAACGGTGTGCACTTTACTCCATCACAACATATGTCCTGCAAATGATAAAAATATTTATACACAAACTCATTGAAGAGTCATCATCATCATAACATTACGCCTTTTATCCCCGAAGGGGTAGGCAGAGGTGTACATTATGCCACTGTATAATGTAACACCCACTTTTCACTATTTATGTTATGAGTCCCATGTAATAGGGCCAGGGCCTATTGCCATATACCGGGCCCGTGCTACTACTGTGAATTTTTTGAAAAACCCAGTAGTACTTTGCCCGACCCGGGAATCGAACCCGAGACCCCTTGCCTGGCAGTCGCACTTACGACCAATCGGCCATTGTCATGCAGTCATTGAAGAGGTATAGGAAAAATACGAAGTAGTTCCAGAACTAATCACAGGTAAAAAGTTCACAATGAGTAGACCTGTGATCTATGGTTACCATATTTGGATTGCGAAACTCCATAATAAAACCTATGAATCTTAAAATGATTTTGCAATCAATTAAACCTAGTTATGAAGGGTAGGATGTGTATGAAGTAATACTGCGATATGCATATTATTATTCTTTGTAAGGGATAGGCAGAGATAATTATGTAAATCAAATATAGCAGCTACTTTACAATAATTATAAAATAATATATTATCCCTGAAATAATAGGATATAATATAAGTTCATAGCATCACATTCAGACTTGAAAGCAATTAACGTCTCCATTTTGTTTACTCATACACATGTTTTGTGGTAAATACTCAATCAAATAAAACACAGACAGACATATAGTTTAACATAACCTTATGTAAAAATACTGAGAAAAGCTCTACTAGTTTCGAGCCACAGAGGGGCTCTTCCTTATGAGCAGCGTGCGCGGTCACGGCAATGAACAGCAAAGAAGGTAAGGCGCGTTTAGTTAATTTAGTATGTCTCACGATAGTTATTATAAAAACATAACATATTCTTAATACAAATCTTTGAAAATCAGTACTCGGAAATATGTTTACGACACATGTATTATATTTTTGTTTGTTGTCCACACATAAACATGTCCAGAGTCAGTCCAAAGGTCATTGACATGTCATCAACCTAAATACATGCTTGTAAATAACAAAGGGTTTTTACTCTTTGTTTATATAATACATACTTTTCTACATTTTCTACAAATTATGGGTGTTAAACTGTATATAGGGCCTTCACAGGCGAGGGATCAGACTTCAAGTTTTAGGGATATCATCAATATAATATCACTATCATATAATAGTGGGATACTTCACTTAAACTGCAAATCTATGTACACTTCTGGCAGTTTTAGTAATACAGATTCATTACGAACTGTTCACTGAAGAACTTACGAAGAGGACTATGAGCAAGCTGTGACGCCATTTAGTCTGCAGGCCCTTCAAATTCATTATCATCATCATCATATCGCCCAGAAAATGTCTACTGCTGAACATAGGCATCCCCCAATGACTTTATAAAGCTACATAAACACTAATGCACATGTCAATCATCCAGAGCAGACAAAAGCCACAAGGTATCTTATAGACTGCTGAAGATTGTGCGAACACTTTGAAAACAATATTAAAATTCATTATAAATTTAGTATGTCTCACGAAATTTATAGTAAGTAATTTCTCAAATTGCTCTGAAAAGAAATACCCTCACACTAATTTTATTTTAAAGTAGTCTAAATTTTTTTAATCTGTAACTTTAAATGATTAAGATTAGACTCAAGAAGATAAATATAAGCTGTAATTCATAAACGGCATGGTACCAAAAGCTGGTCTTAATTTCTATGAGACCAGTTTGTTGTAACCCATTGTCATAACAAGAAGATAGCCCATAGCAAGAAGGTTAGTGGCAGAAGGCAGAGATGTAACAAAACACTATAAAACATAGTAAGAACAAATGATGAAATAATACAGCAGATTCAGTCGTACATTGATATCTGCTTATAGAATTAAAAATTGAATCAACATTACAATTAATAATTTTTACAAGGTTGACAGAACATACATATCTCTGGAATCAGCTGATTTTCAAAACATTTGTTGAGTTGTTTGAAAAGCCAATTTTTGAGTATAGAACATTATCTTTATTAAGATTTTTTGTAATGTAATGATGACTAAATAAAATTTAAGCAACTACATATAATAATGTCTAATAAGATTAGTGTTTATTTTGACAGGTTACACTCAAATTAGAATCAGTTATTATAATTTGATTCTTGTTCTATCTAGCACAGCTGATTCACAAAACAAACAAAACTGAAATCTCAACCAAAGATAGTATTTGAAGTATACACTAAAGACAATTTAAAATTGAACTAAATAGTTATATGTTAGCTAATAGGCATTCAAATTGAATGTAATGGGTAAATAAAGTGTAGAATAACTTTTTGCAACCTCTTCATGATAACAATCAACAAAAGGCAATGTGTGCAGTAATCATGAGCAGAGCGAGCGACCCCAACCAGCGGGGGCTTTCGCAAGCACAGCGCAACTCAAGGAAATGAAACTGGCAACTGGTACCAAGGTTACGAAGACGTTAAATGTGCGTTACGACGCAAAATCGTATTCCGCGACGCATAAAAAATGAATTAATAACTCACGCCACCCGTACACATCGCGCAAAAGGTATCGCGCCGTCAATTTGTATGATAAAAATAGATTATCATCATTCTCATCAGAAACACTAAATTGAAACAAAGTCTTGACTCAACTTCCAATGATACAGCGCGAATGAACAGTCAATTCAGTACTTACGCTATTTAATAACTCGTCAATTTCATCTGTGTTTTTCTCGTATAATAAAGCGTAAAGGGTTAAAGACATTCCATCTCTAGCAGCGAAAAACACCCGTTCTTGCAAGGGGCTAGACAAGTCTTCTAACATTAATTTGTCTTCCATTATCTAACCACTGTTTTTTCTTAACACACCGTTTTATTTCATCAACACAACACGGGCACGTATGTCTATTTATTGATAATTTTTAAAACAACTCAACTCAGCAGCAAAATATCAAGACAACTTTTCACTGAATGAAAAACTGACGAATAGTGCGGCTGAATTCTGAATTTTCGAAATGAGTATGAATTTGACATTTTATTCGAATGGATGTAGTAGTACATTTAAATCGATTCATATACTATTCGACTAATATAAGCTTGGTATAGAAACTACTATGTGTATTGGAAAATGGTAATTACAACTTAATTTACAAATTTTAAGAAAATGTATTTGCATTTTTTTAATAAATTTACGATATTGGAAAATTTCTTTTAGCAATAAAAAATACAATAAAATGTTGATTGAAATGACTGCCACGTTTTGTCCAAAGTGGAGATTCTTGACCAATCAGAACGAAGTTTACTTTTTTATTGTGTTCCAGGTGTGCATTGTTAAATATCTATAGCATTGTTTTTTATTTACACAATGAGATTTCGAAGGCCTGACTGCTCTATAATGTTCAAGATCTCATTTCCTTTCGAAACTCAGTAGATTTTTTTGATATTTGTTTGGTTTTGACGTGTAACCTATTACTTTGACGCTTTCCCTTTATTTACAAAGAATTTAATAAAAATCTACTTAGAATCTTTCCAATAATGTCGAGTGGTCAATGGGAAGTTGTTGGGAAGAGCAAGAAGTCTCAGAATGGCAAGATTAAAACAAAAGAAGATGAAAAGAAAGCTGTAAAAAATGGACCGAAACTAGAGGATGTCGGTGGGTAACTTTGGTTTTCCTTTATAATTTGCTGTTGTAGTACTAAATGTTTGTCTTTCCAACAGGAAAAATTATTTGTTTCTTTCTTGTATATTGCTAATTCTTGAGTCAAAATAATGTACCATAAAGTAATAACAACATTATTCCTGTAACAAACCCTGCTGTTATGTATCAATTTTGAAAAATTTCGAAATACCTAATAATTTAAAATACAAATGCAAGTGTGGTCCGATGCCGGTTAAAAATATTTAAACCGATATTTGTAATATCTATTGATTTAATTACATATTAAAAGACCCCACAACATTTATTGACCAATTAATTTTCAAATAACTAATGTAAAATCTTGGTTTTATTAATTTTATTCTAAATTTTTCTTATCTACTATTGCAATATGTTATTGGCAGAATGATGTGGCATGTTGAAAACCAACCTTACTAGTGTGTGCATGAAGTTTAGTTTGCAGTGCATTTGATCCCCTTCACTATCTCTTTTATAATAGTGCATTTATTTATGCAACACCAATTTTATATTAGTTGTTATTACTTGGAGATAATCAAAAAGGCATATTAAATTATACTTATTAAAAAAGAATAAAATGTCCAAAAGTAACAATATAAATATACAATAAAACATGTAGTATGTCTCACGAAATTTTTAATATAATCATAAAAATTTACTAATTACTTTACAATGAAATATTTTTTCAGTGCCACATTCTCAAATAAAATCTTTCTATTCTGGAATGGAAATTGATGATGGAAAGCCTGCGAAGGAGAAGAAAAAGGACAGTGATAAGAAGAAGAAGCAAGACAAGAAGAATGCGGAGCCTCCTAAACCCAAACCTCCAAAAACGATTGAAGGTGCTCTAGAAATAGTAAGTTTCCGACTAATAAATATAGTTACCATAAAACTCATATAATATTAATTTCCCAAAATGTTAAGCAACAAAATAGTTTTTGAACACCTGCATTCTGCTATTTAGATATTTACTACACCGTGATAGCATTTTTTTATAGTCTTATTAGATTGTCTAGCTCGCTCTACTTTAATAGTTTTAGTACCTATATAAAATACATAAATTCATCTCATGCTACTAAGATATTTGAATCTTATTCCTCGCCATGAATGCAAGACATTTGAAACAATGAAAGTTATTGTTTTCATTTAATAAATAGAAACTAAGTTCATGTCTCATAATTAACTATTTTTTTACAGATGGATGCAGCGGAACTAGCCAATATTATAACATCAAACAAAATCCGCTTTTCTAACGCCCCTCTTGTATGGCTGAAAGAAGTGGCTGCCTTCCTCAATTCCAAGACTCAGATAGATGTGGAGGACCCTACGTTTTCCTCGCACCCTCCCCTTTATCCCTTGTCTTCGGTCCCTGATGAGATCAGGAGATCTTTGTCTGATGTGCTACACGACGCTGGGAAGACCAATGCACAGTTGTTCTTTGATGTCACTCTAACAGCCCTAGCAAATGATATGAGCAGAGGTGTGTATGTCTAATTGTCTGTTTAATTTCTTTGTTATGTCTTGGTCGATTCATTCAATGTTTGTAATAACATTTGTTGCTATTACAACTATATTATTGTAATTGTAATGTGTTATAGAATTCCTGTACTTGTTTGATTCATGCAATGGAGACTTATAATGTATTTTAAGTAGCTATAGAAAATTTTACTACTGCAAATAATAAAGCGGCAAACTTTGTTACTTTTGTCAAAAACAGAATTATCATACCAATTTCAACCTTCATTCATAGCTTATCAGAGTAATCATCTAAAATATTTCTCATTATTGTGTAAAGCAACTTCTAAATATTTTGCTTTTCGTTTTCGTTTTAGGTCAGTCCGTAAATGGTCACAGATTATTGCTGCAAATGCTAGCACAAGAATACCCTGAATTCTGTATCACCTCTGTACAAAAGAGTGCTAGTCTCCGCAACTCCTACCAGAATAGACCACCAATTGGACTCTCCCTTCTATGGGCGTTCGGTCAGGGTGGTAGTAGCGATTTTGCTGTGGGCCTGAAAGGTAAGCCATTGTAATAAAAACAGTTTTTTTGTAGCACCCTCAACATCGACATCAACAATTTTTTTTAATTCCATTTAATAAAAAGCAAGTATATTGTTGTATTATTAGTACTGGCCAAAATCAATTATTTTCTTTATGAAAATGAGAATTTGTAGCATTTAAATCTCAGTTTTATTAAACCTTTTGAAGCAATTTTAGTTATACAACAATAGCAATAAATATTACAAGTTATCATTCAAAATGCTAATCAGTTTATGCTGGTTATGTAAAAGATAAGAGTGAAATTACTCAAGCCATAGGCCAAGATAATATTTCGGGTCACAATTGGAGATAATAGTTATCTCATGTCAATTTGACACTTTCCAAGGTAAAGTAAGATAACTCGAGATTTTGCTCAGTAGGCATTTACAGATTTCATGCTTTAGTATGAAAAATATATTTGATGTGAAAAGAAAAATAAAATAAAATTGGTTTAGTGCTGTAATGTAAGTTCTAGACTAGAAATTGAAGGCCCTAAATAAATTATCTAAATAGTACATCATTAGGTCACTCCGTAACTAATAAACTATTAACACCTGCGAGTCAAAAATTAGTGGTTTCATTAAATATTTTATTTCCAGCTTGGCAAGAACTATTCCTTCCTATTATCGAGCTTAAGAACTATTCCAAGTACGTAGTAGGATACTTGTCGAACCTCCTAGACGAACACGGTACGATGGACAACACTAAAGTGAGCCAGGACCAGCTGTTCGCCATGATAGATATGGTGAACAATAAGAGGAGTGCACTGCCTAAGGATCTGTCAAGTGACCTTATCAAGCAATTAAGTAAATATAAGGTAAGTTTATAATCTTTCTTAATAGGCCTGCAAATCTCTTATAATGCCTCTGATTTGTGGGTGTCCATGGGCGGCGCTAATCATTTATCATCAAGTGAACTGCCTGCTCATTGATTTCCATACCATAAAAAACTTTTGTGTTTATCTTAAATCTAAAATAAATCTCAGAACTATATCCCAATGCTCCTTTGTCTAATTCAAAACTAAACCTTTTTTCTTTCTCAAAGAAACCAAAAAAGGACATATAAACTGAACTTACATTTATTTTCAGGATATTTATTTCAATAAAAGCAATAATAAACTACAAGTTACTTTCAATCAACTTATGAAGAAGTTGCCCAATCAGTATCTGAGTGGTGCATCCCTGGATCCGTACCACAGGGTGCTAGTAGACTGCTTGGTCGACTGCCTCGCGAGGGATGACTCTTGCAATGCTACGTGGAGACAACTCTTCCATAGGTGTAGCAAACAGTCCGCTACATTACTTGATTATATTGGTAAGTTTATCTTTTCTAATGAAAACTCCTGGAAAAAGAAAATAACTAAGAATAGCTATAAAAATCTATTCACAAAAGAAATTATAAAAATATAATGTGACTGAGTTAGGCTCTTATAAGATGTTTGTCACATCCTGAATACAAAAAAAAATCTAATGGATTCTAATAAATGTGTAATGTGATTTTTATTTCCTACAAGATGCCAACTGGGAGGAAGTCAGCAAAAAACTGAGGCAGAAGTCTTTGAAAATGACAGTTTTGCAATACAAAGAAGTCTGTGGTGAAGCCTTGAAGGGCAAGAAGAAGGATGAAACTGTTGTTAAAACGAATAAAATATGCCAGGTAAGTAATAAAATCCAAAGTCAATTGTATTCATAGCAGTCTCCCAAAGTGCCCAAACAATAACTTTGAAGTACACTACTGTTTAAAACCGACTGTTTAAAACCGTAAATAATGAAACCGTAAACAATATATGTTACAATATCATATTTATATTCAATAATTTAAGCCTGGTAATATTTTTATTTTAATATAACTATTCAGTAAACTGAAAATACAGCAAAAAATATCAAGAACCAAACCACCACCATAAAATCGACTAAAATGATCGTTACCTTTGATGACATTTGAATCACGACACTATTGAGGTCATATGTCATGTCACATCCATATCTCAATGTTGCCAGGTCATATTTTTTTATAGTACAGTAATTTTTATTTTAGACGACATTTAATTGATTAATTTTATTTATTATCCGAACTATTCATTGGATTTATAACTTAAATGAAAAAATAAAACAAGTAGAGCTTTTAAATAAATTATAAGATTAGTTAACTATCGTAACATTCTTAATAAATCTCAATACAAATTGAATGTGAAAGCGATGGTAATAAATTCATCTTAAACATTGGTCACCTTTAATTTGTCAGTAGAAAAAAAACTAGTTTCGAGGGCGACATATTTTTTCACTAATAAATCTATTTTAATTTCTATCAAGTGTATTCGACATTCGTTGAAGGTAATTATAATGAATTAAATTTAGTAAAAATAAGTTATTTAAATCTAGTTCGTCAGTGCATCATTCCAGCTTCATGATATTCGAAATGGTTTTGTGATATTGGTGCGTTTCTAGTTTCTAGTGAATCAATTCAAAGAATCGCGCAGTTTGCTTGTGAATGGAAGTTGAAAAACTGCTTTAGTAGCGTGTGGTGTACGCGGGCGTAGTGCTAACAGTAAATGTTGATGTGTTACATCCGTTAGTCCGCGGGAGGCATTTAGCACGCGATCCGTTTCAATAAAGTGTTTATTTTAAAATCCAGGTAATATCAAACATCATACGTGCATTTTCCAAGTTCTAAAAGTGATATTTTTATAGTGAACATATTTTGAATTGTTGTGTTTGCTGAATTAAATTGGGAGATATTTTTGTCTGCAAAATTTTTGTCGTATATTTATTTCATTCAAGAAAACGTTATAAAATTGTTCCTTGTGGCTAATAGAATATCATGACCTTTTCAAAGTGATTTATCAATGAAAATTCGGTGTGAATGTAGATGGATGTGTGATGTGTCATGGGTGTGATTGTGATGTGTTAACCAAAAACCTTAAATTACAGTGATAGATAGTAATCATAAATATTTTCTTATTAGAATAACTGGTTAATGTTATCATTGAAATATTTTATCCAGCTTCAATTATTTCAAAGTGCTTTTTATAAGCTTAGCATTATACATTTTCATTATAAACTTTAAGCTCACCAAAAATATATGTACTTAAACATCTCTGAAAAAATGTACTTATAAAATAGTTACATGAAATAAACACTACACAATCCTTTGCTTCCTGACAATAAAATTGAATGTTCGACATCCTGTTATGTACTTATTCAACTACATTAAGAAAAGCCACATAAACATATTCGAAACAAATAACATTTATTTCACACACTTACAAAGGGTTAGATTATAAGTATGGCTACACATTCATATGCCAAGTTTGCCGTGAAATGTGACCAGTACAGAATATGCAAGACAGGGCCTTGTGCTGGTATTCTACTACCCCCCTTATATAAAGGTCTTTCAATGAAGATCATAAGTAAATGAGACAATTTACAATGCTAATATATATACAAAGGTATGCCAATTATTTCAATGAGTGTTAACTGAACCTTTTTTCTTTTCTTATTTAGGATATTCTAGACAGAATGACAAGCACTAGAAGGTTCCCTTGGATCTGGGCCAGCTTCTTCCTGCTGGTCGGCATTGCTGGGCTCGTCTCATACGATGTCTCAAGAGCTGGTGGCAACTTCCCAAGTAAGTGTACCTACTTTAATATTTGTAAAAATAAGTGCAATTTCTAATAGGTGTAATATTTAGATTTGGTTTGAATTTAGAGCTATATTTGTAATATACCAGTTGTGAGGCATCTGTATAAGTCGAAAAACATAATGAGTAATTAATTTATAATAGAACCTGTTGCTTCATAAACCTGAATAATAGAAAAATATCTGGGTTTATAAAATCATTGTAACCAAACCAACTCCTTTTTGGATATAATAAGGAAAGTTATTTTTGCCTATTCTTTTTTTCCTCATTAGTGAGATTATTCTTATTAGTTTGTGAATGTGACTGGTCATGTTATTTGAATAGTCACATTAAGCAAAATATTGGTGTTTCTGTTTCAAAACCTATTCAAAAAACATCAAAGTCCAATTCCAAAAAACAATTTACCATGTCATGACTAATGAAGTACAAAAAATTTAACATTCTAGTTTGCAGTCAGAGATAAACAAAGGAACCATTATTTACTAATGCAATCCTATTTGTTCATTAGCTCTTGCTAATATATTTATTAGCTCTTGTGAATAAATAAATAGTACTCTGATAGTACTAACAACAAATAAAAAATGTATGGATTAAATACTCTTTACAATGATAAGACTTAAGAATAGACAAACATTTGCTTTGAAAAAAAAACAAACACATGCAATCTGTCATGCAACAACAACAAAAAAGATGACAGAACTTATATTTTTTTGAAGAATTTTACAAAGAGATTTTAATTACCTCAAGTCCTATATAAATTGGAATTATCCAACTTATATAGGACATAAGGCTTTTTATTAACCCTAAAAGAGATCAAATCACTGGTTTTTGGAACATGGAATGTAATCTGATTGGTATTAATTAATTATATTATTATTTGTTTATCTGCACTTTAGACTGTTCATTATAATTTCATCTTGTCAGCTGTAATATATCAATTATTGTTATTTATTAGCTGTTGTCTGATTAGATCAGTATGTTTATGTTTAGATCATAAACACAAGTGTAACTATGTTCATAATTATAACATTGTAACAAAGATTATGAAAATACTTGCTAAGCAATTATTGATTTATCGATCAGCAAGTATACTGGGTTCCTTATTATCATTCAACTCCTGAATATATTCTAAGGTAAACTATGGAGCCTCTATTACTGTGAAATTACAATGTTTTCATTTGCTTCCTAACAAATATAATAGTGTTTGTTCAGGTCCCTACTCTTCAACCAATAATAAACCATGATATATGTAAAGTAGGTGTTATTTGCTAGTACAATTTTAACCAAACCCTTTGGAAGAGGGGCCCTTTGTTTGACGAGGCACTGTCATACAGCTGTGTGACAGTCGCCGCGTCGTGTCGCGGAATGAGCTTTATAGAATGGCTTGAAACTAGTTAAGTTCCTTGTCAAACAGTTACTTGACGAAGAACATAATAATGAATTTAATATGTCTCATGAAAGTTTTGATACAGATAAGTGTATCATATAATAATGTGGTGATTAATCCAAAATCAGTCAAACAGACACACCTCAGTGTGAATATGAATGTTGTCTAAACTTGTATTGAACGAAAACACCATATTAAGAAATGTAGCACAGGGAAAGTTGTTATTTCCTAAATATACTTCTTTACTTTCATGAAATTGCTTATTTATTATTTTATGTAGAAAGAGAATAAAGTATGATATTATCTGTGATTAAGAATATGCCAGTACCTATAATTGGCATATTCTAATTAATATTTTTGTTCAAAATATCTCTAGGATAAAGTACAGATCTCTAGAAATCAGCTTTATTTGTACTGAGAAGTATTGTGTGGTGACTGCTGAATAGAAAACAGTTGTCATCATCCCCAAATATTCCTGTGGGTGTTGTGTTGTATTTTGTATTGTGATCTCCCAACTGCTAAGTAAGGAGATTATAGCAAACCATCTTATAAATATAAATATTCAACATCAACAGCCTCTAGCTGTGAACTCACGGTCTGTCGAGTATTTTTTTTTTTTTTCAAATTATTTGATCAAAATTTCTATTACGCTCCAACTTGACTCCATGTACAATTGTACAGTAATGACAATTTTATCGCCACAGATAAGGCAATGTTTTCATACACTTACAACTTTGTTTTCACTGATAATAATAATTATGGTGATATTGGTACCCAAGTGGAATATAAAATTACCAGGTTGGGCGATAAAGTTTAAAGTTAATTGCATTACTTACGTACGTCAAGTCTTTGTTACCCGCGTAGCGAAATTCACTCGCGTAGGTAAGTCAAAGGGCACGGATAGATTTACTATGGTGACTAGAAACAACCACGTACCCCGTCTCGCAGGTGGACGCGAAAGGTGCGGGCATAATTAACAAACATAGTTACCTATAAACTTTAGAAGTTAGTATAAAAAGTATTAGAAATGGTAGGAAGGAGTTTAATAGTCCTGACAGTGTATGAAAATTAAAAATGTAATTAGTCCGTCAGTTAGATAATGTAAAAATATTAGACATATATTTTTTATTTTGTCGTGAAAACAATACTTAGATAAAACAGAGTTAAGTTTAAATGTAGTAAATCGTGACGTCACACGATATTTCAAATCAATATACTATGTATAGTCGAAATATAAAGTATTTAACTCGTCGAGTACCGGTTTTATAGACACAATTAAAGAACAATAGGTCGCGGTCACCGGTGACCGCTTGGTGTTTGACAGTTTAAATTTTATAAGAAAAGAAAAATACGTGTCTAATGTTTTAATATAATATACCAGAGGGACATAAAAATTTTAGGATACTACCCTTTTAAGTTATTTATGCTAGTGCACGAGCACTCGTCTATGTGCGCAATAAATGCAATTGCTCGATCAAGATTCAATTGGACGCAATCTGACACGACCGGAGAGGTCAACCACAGGACAAATGGCTTTACATCCTTTGATAAGTACGTAAATTAATATCAAGGTTACTCTGCCAAAGTTCATAATTAGTAACATCACGCTTTTCATTTCTCGAAGTGACAAGCAGAATCTAGTTAGTGTTGTGTTGCACTTGCATTCGGCTAGCAAAGGCGCCGTTTGAACACCATCTGGTCAAACGGCATTCTATTTAAATATACAAAAGTTATTTATTTATTTAATCTTTAATGTACACAATTTTAATATGGCACATAAGGCGGACTTAAATATACAAAAGTTATGTGATTTTCAAGTGATTAAAATAAGTAACGATTTTTCTAAATTTAAATTAAATACCCCGTGTGGATACCTCGTAGGTACATATTGTAAATAAATTATTATTATTTCCCTGTGTTATGCATATCAAGATATCTCAGATGTTTTAAAAAAAATACCGGTTTTGACAGTACATTAAACTTTGTAACCTTCAACTTGATACGGAGATATCTATGAAACTCGTCTAGTTTCATAGTTTTATACTATTGGACAAGATGTTATTTAATAAGGCTAAGCCCCATAATAGTCAAAGAAATGGGTTGCCTAAGCCCCATATCCAGCCTGCTAATTATCTCCTGAAATAAAAATCATCTTATAAACCCGCTCCGTTGTGACAAGAAAATTTCGCTTTAAAAAGGATTCTCATAATATTCAGTAACTACTTAATTAATGATGAGACTCATAATATTATTAATACCTAAGATGAAAGGATTTAATTCTAAATCAATTTACCTGTACAGGTAGGTAGGGTATTGTTATTCCAACCATACAATTTGCTTATTTTACATACCGGTTGTACATATTATAAAATTTAAAAATAGATACATCGAATTTGTATCCTTATTAAGTACATAATAGGATTATATTTTCCTGTTTCTTTGCATAAATCAATGCTAGTCAATCGTCTTGTTCTTTGTTTTAAATTCGTGTAGACTTGGCAGCTCAAACTTGTATTCAACGAGGTTTAATTGATAATCAATTATTAATTATGGAAATATCCTTCGTCCTGACTTCATCTTTATTATTCTCACATAACATGACATCACGTCTCGGAACCCTCGAATTTATATTTTTTCTACTAAAGATTTTTATTATTAATCAACGAACGTGTATAAATTATACAACTATAATATAATTTTTTGTTTTTTCTTTATTTTAATTATGAAGGGTTTTATCAAAATTGACAATGTCACCCTCATGAGGATATACTTACTAACTTATAATTTACGCTTAATAGCTAAGTTAATTATTCTATACACTTTTTAGAGCCATCCTTGATGATGGGTTACTTAGGACTATGTTACATATACCAAACTCACTAAGACTGACATTGTTCTATGTTCAGATGCGACTCTTTCAGGCTCATTCCTGACACATCGTGCTAAGATATGATACACATCTTCAAAACTATAATTTTACGAGAATCTTGTTTAGCAAAATATCGTTATTATTATATACTAGATTTACATCAATATCAAGAGAACCTAACGGGTAACCGGGGCTTCGGCTCGATGTGCAGGAGAAGGAACGGGGTGGTTTTTAATCAGTAAGAGTCTGACACCCGCCTCACCCAGGCGGGAGCAGTCATTCGATGATTTTACCCCCTTAAAAAAAAATTCATTCCACAAAATATGTCACCAGCTGAATTTCTTTACAGAAAGCGCAACGGGTCGTTTGCTCAACGACTTGGGCGTCTTGGAGCACAGTCAGCGTGCTTGGCAGAAGACGTTATCAACGTCAGCACGCGGCTACCTCTGGTTAGAGACCAACGCTCCAGTCTACTACACACAGACAGTAGAAACTTGCACCCCATACGTGTTACTCTCGAGAGAATTCGCATATCTAGCTTTGAAGAAGGTAGGAGTTCTGTACTCGAACACCAAGGACTATGTTGCTGATAAAACTCCCGTGGTAGTGGCTACCATAGAACAGTATGCACCAGGCCTGGTTGATAATGTACAGAGCTACGCATCGACTGGCTTCCAAACGGTTAAGAAGTACTCTAACGACTACTACCAGCTGACTGCGGAGTACTTGAAGACTAAAGTATTTGTGTGAGTATTTATCTTATTTACTTTATAGTTTACTAATTACCCCTTCACGTTTTCACCTACTACTCGGTATCTAAATAGACTACCCAATACAAAAATAATTTTGAATTCGAACCAGTAGTTTCAGAGATCGGCGCGTTCAAACGAACAAACAAACATTCAGCTTTTTTTTTTAAAAAAAAGAATGTTCTAGTGTGGGCTAAAGAATTTTTTCCTGTATCGTGGGTGCGTTTACAAACATACAATTTCACATTACATGACATCCAGACCCGGAACAACAATTTGTATATCACACGTGTAGTAGATCAATGTGTAATACCTTTTCAGAATCCCTATTAAATACAGGGTTATTTTATGGTAGGTAGTATTTTTTTCTCACAGTGGAGTCCAAAGTAAATAAACTGTTATGATTTGAGGAGAATAAAATTCTTAAACCTTAATATTATCTTCAACACACCCAATAAACAAACAAAAATAGCACGTCTAAAGCAAGGACTCATCAGTACCAATCTAGTGAAAATTATAAAAAAGATACAGTATGTAGATTTTTTCGAATTTTAATAAAAATTAGTAAAGAAAAGTCAATTTTCTCATAAAACACAAAATAAATTATAACTCTGCTGGGGTATAAGGACCTCCCATAGACCTACTTTTTGCAGCTGATGACCCCATCTAACTTCTAGTTGCGTTTGATCTACGATTTTTGTACCTGTATAGCCTCTTCATAAAGAAACTCACGATATATATTGTTACCCAGTGCTTTATCATGTTTGCACTTATAATTGCATTGATGTGTTATTTTAATTAGTGGATGTTGGATGACAGAAGTGAAAGTGGTAAGCTCTAAAGGTCAATGGCCTGAGGGTCGACTTTGGTTTACTTAAATGTATACATAAGTCGGTTGTGTACACAACTGCTTGAGTGCTCGTATGGCATACTATGCCAGGCATAGTATTATAGTTTGGTTAACACAAAATATTAACAACATGAAGAAAAATGTCAATGAAAGTTTTTACTTAACCGTATGCACCGTTATTTAGTTTTTGTCCCTGTCTGTAAAATAGTTCTGTCTTGGTAATGCAATATATTTATAAAGAAATAAAATTTTTAAAACAAAAATCTGTAGTGAACCATTGCAAAAAGCAAACTTTGAAACGAACGAACTCATAGTACAAGTCAAAACATCACGCCAATTAATTCTCGAAATTGTATTTCTTGTCGGGTGACAGGTGCGATGCGAATAGTGCTTACGAATTAACGTCTGGTGTCTAGTGTTTCATGTGCGTATTTCAATGAATTATTTTTACCACAATTTTTTTTTTTTAAGTTTTTACTTTATGCATCGAAAGTAATCCTTATGGCAAGTTGTTTTGCCGCGGGACGAAATAGATTTCACGTTGTATATTCACGTTTATTACTCAAGTTATGTATTTAAACTGGAAAGAGAGTCTGGAATAGTGCCCGGTATATGGCAATAGGCTCACCCCCTATTACATGGGACTCATAACACAAATAGTGAAAAGTGGGTGCTACATTGTACAGTGGCATTAAGTGCCGTAATGTGCACCTCTGCCTACCCCTTCGGGGATAACAGGCGTTATGTTATGTTATGTATTTAAACATGGTTCATACTTTACAACAAGTTGAATTATGTAATCAGAAAGTTGTCAGCAATCAAATAGCTATTACTGAAAAGCCAAATGTCAAATGTGTTTTGTGTAGGTACATTTACTTACTGATAATGTTGATTACATTCGTTGACGTACACACTACAGATGGTTTATCAACTCTTTGAAATTATATCAGATTGGTTCAAAAGTTTAAATAAATTGTAAACAAATATATAGGTAGAATTACTAAGTAAAGACTAAATGTATAATGTACATCTTCTAAGGGAGCGTCCATAAATTACGTGAGGTGTTTTTTTAATTTTCTGTCCCTCCCTCCCCTTTTGGTGAGATTTCGTTGGATTTTATCCAACACCCTCCCCCATGCCCAATCTCACGTGAGATTTTTCTAAATGTTGGTTTTTCACGTAAACGCATTAGATTGTTATTGTAATAAGAAACAAAAACCCATGTGCATGTACAATTACATCTTAAGCATGTACAATCTGGATGAAATGAACTAAAATAGTATATTTTTTTTGTTTCAATCAGAAAAAAATTACATGATCTCTCCAACGTAAGATTAGATGAGGTTTGAGTCTACCCCCTCCACCCCTTAAACATCTCACGTAATTTATGGACGCCCCCTCAGTTACGGTGAAATACTCAGCTGCTACTCAATTTTTAATCACTCTTAAATAAGTATACATAGTTCTGTCACTACAAATTCTTTTTAAAAGTCTGTTAATTAATATACATACTTAAAACCTTCTGAAATCTGCACCAAAATAGGTTCAGCTAATCTCGAGATAATCGATTAATCGCGCATAAACATACAGCTCAAACTTAGCACTCCTTTTTTTCATTTTGAAGTCTGTTGCTAATAGAAAAAGAATGCATTACTTTATTTCAAGTTGACCGTCATACTATTGCAATAACATTCATTGTTCTTTGTCGTTAGACTGAACGAGCTCCAGCATATGATAAGATGCTTGTAAAGAGATTCTTTTGAACGTAATTTAGATTGGTATAGTAATATCTATTACTTTGTTACCTTGAATGTCTAACCAAGGTTGCGCTACAAAATATGATGCATGTTTAACACCATTGTAATTCATTGTACGCTATTTATTTCTGCCAGTTTGTCTATTCATTATTTTATGGTCTTTAAATGGAGTCAGGATACCAAGTTGGCAAGTTTCTTAGTAAAGTTAAACTTGTGTAAAGGTTTAATCATTATATCCTCTATGGCTCTATTTAAGAGGTCGAATAAAGAGAAAGAGAAATAAATAAGTCAAAATTTCTCTTTATTCAACCTCGCATTTTATACCCGACGGGGTAGGTGCACATTACAGCACTTAATGCCACTGTACAATATAACACCCACTTTTCATTATTTATGTTATGAGTCCCATGTAACCCCCTAGGTGAGCCTATTGCCATATACCGGGCACAATTTCAGACCCAGTTGTACTTTACCTGACCCGGGAATCAAACCCGAGACCCCTTGCCCGGCATTTTCACTTGCGACCACTTGGCCAACGGGGCATTCCACTTTGCGCACCTAAATGAAGCGCACCCAGACGAAGCGCACCTAAAGTATTCCACTTTGCGCACCTGTAGGTGCGCTTAAAATAAAAATTTTAAATAAATAGTTTTTCTATTCCACGAAGCGCACCTACGAATATCACTCGCATAGTGCGGAGACTAAGAAATAAAAATATCGATATAAAACATATTTATTATTTAAAAGACTAACTTAAATTTCTAACACCATTCAGTTTCATCACACGTAACACACGTCACAGTAATACACGTTAAAACTAATTACATATAAAGTGCAGCGTCAACATTGCTTGGAGGTATGTTGCAGTCAATAATTAAAAGTCGAACCGTGTCGCTGTTAAACTATAAAATCATCGCATTTCAACTCCCCCGAAAAAGTACACACTTCATCCCCCTTATAAAAGGAAAAAAAAAATGAAGGCTGCAAACAATGTTGACTACATTTTTTTTTTAACCTTATTAGATTGTTACACATACTTAAACTAAGCTTATAAGTAAATTACAAAATAAAATCAATTATGAAATAACTTTGTATTATTTTTATGCGTTACATATTCCTTATTATTTTTTATAATTTTCACATTTGGTGCAAGATCCTCAATGACTTTATATGGTCCACTATAAATTTTGTCTAATTTGCTACCTACTTGATTTTTTAATAAAATTAAGTCTCCTTCTTTGTAAGTTATAGAATTAAGTTTTTTGTCATAAGATTTTTTTCTAATTTGTTTACTTTGAACAAGGTTTGATTTTGCATCTAATTGTGCCTTTTGTAATCGAAATTTTAACTCTATAGGATAATTTTCATCATTATAAACAGGATCTACTGAATTAGTTTGCAAATTTGTTGGCAAGTGACATAGTTTTCCAAAGACGAGCTCATAAGGCGTATACTTTGTCTCAGTGTGTACGGTAGTATTATATGAGAAGCACCAGTATGGCAACCATGTGCTCCAATCTATACTAGTACTTTCGCACTGCATTCTAAGAAATGCTCCTAAATTTTTATGGGTATTTTCTAAAGCACCAAGTGTTTGATGGTGATAAGCCGTGCTATTGTATTTTTTGATTCCACAAACTGCAGATTCCTGTCATGATCGACGACATAAATTCTGTCCCCTGATCAGTTATTATTTCTTTAGGTAACCCATAACGCAAGATAAAATTATTCACAAAAGATTTCGCAACTGTCTCCGCATCTTTTGTTTTTAGAGGATACGCTTCCACATACTTTGACAAATTGCATTGTAACGTTAGAATATATTTATAATTAAAACTATCTACTTCTATTGGGCCCATTAAATCTAAACTTAATCTCTCGAAAGTTGAGTTTGGTGTGGTGGTAATAAACATTGGTTCTCGAATTTGTTTATTCGTAAACTTTTGAACCTGACATTGTTTACAGGTTTTCACGAAGTTAGTGACGTCACTGGACATTCCTGTCCAGAAATAATATTTTTTAATATTATTTAACATCCTATTTACCCCCGCATGGCCGCTAGTAGGTAATAGATGAAAATCATTTAAAATAATACGTTTTTCATCTTTATCAATTATACGTTTCACATCTCTAGTAACAAGAAAACGTGGTACCTTCGATGCTTTCATTTCCTTTAATAAATATTAAAGACTTACCTATAAAACTTTGTCTGCATTTTGTACTTAAGTTGACTAAACATAGAATAGAATAGAATATAACTTTATTGTACACCATTAATAATACAGTACATACAGAAAAGGAAATGACAAATATAAATAAAAATAATAAACATAATATAAGATTTGTGAACATGATTAAAAAAGAGTAACCTATGGAATTTCTTGCTCGTTCTTCTGCATAGGAATCTACACTTTGGAACGAGCAAATAGCTTCACTAGAGGACTGACCTACAGACTGACATTTTTTCTTATTATTTAATATTTAAATATTTTGTTTTGACGTTCAAAAGTGCCTTCCTGGTCTAATTGAAATAAATGGTTTTGACTTTGACTTTGAAGAGTGTACCTATGTATGAAAGATTGTGATAAAAATACTAATATGAACTTTTTTCTAATTTCAGCGGCGACTGGGCGCCAGAGATATTGCAGAACAAGACAGAATCCGCTCTGAATGTGACCCGCTCACATGTGTCCTCATACTTCCACTGGTTCCGGGAACAAGTGCACATCTACTCCAAGATACCCTGAAGAGTAACTCCTCCCCTTAGTGATAACTGTGCTAAACAGACAGAGGACTGAGTTACTGTGCTAGTTGTGTCCATTATCATCTCTTGTGCGACTGATTGATTAATACAAAATGTGTTCATTAACCAAGTTGTCTATTTACAACAAACATTCAATAATCATGTGTAACTATGGTCACAACTCAATTGTACTTAACAACTATTTAGGCCTAGTATAATGTCAATCGAGTGAACTTGATTTATTTGGTGAATTTTGTATAATTTATTGTTATTTTTATAACAAAATTCATCAAATAGAGCATTGTACCGTATCCTTCGTCTGCCTGTTATCCAAAGCAGACTGCGCAACATGAACACAGTCCTCTGCCTGAATGTATCTTATCAAATCTGTTTTCTTTTATTATTTATGTTCCCATTATGAAGAAAAAAAATTTAAATCGAGTACAATACACACAGATGTGTCTGTAACAACGAACGGACCTAACACAAACTATTCCTGGCGCACAATGATTGCTGAGACGAGTCAATATTGTGGAAACAATTTAAGTATATCTCACTTGGATGCAGGTAATCCATGAACTGTAACAAATTACACCTCAACTCATTGTGTGCCAAAATATTTTGTTGACTTATTTATTTGTAATCATCAACATTATACACTCAATTGTTTTTAATTCAATGCAATAATTAGATCATATCATTGAAGAATATATTTTTACAAAATTAAATCCATGACAAGGTCTACAAAATTTTTAGTAGGTATTTATTTTAAATATTAAATTCTGTATTTGAATACATTCCTAATGCATTTAAATACCTAACAGACTGGTGTCATCTCGCGATTGTTCATTAGTTACCTCTAATTGTCATCCAAATAATTCATTGTTCATTTTATTGAATCTTTTAACAAATATTATGATATAATAGGGGAGTAAGCTTTTTGTAGTATATTTATTTTGTGTTGAGAGATCGTGTTTAAAAGATATTTTAAATGAAATGATAGAGGAATGACTTTAATTTGCGTTGTGTAGATTGTTTGTAATTTGACCCCAGAAATGCTTCATTTTACGGTACTGGGCGATGTATTGAAGCCACTTTAAATAATAATACTCATAAATGTTGCTTCAACATGAAGTTTTTACGACCTTTGCAGTAATTTGCACTTCGTAACATTCAAGGCAACTACATTATTTTCTTCAGTTCTATTTATTTTCACGTAAACAAACTGAAGAGAATAATGCATGTTCTCACACTACCTAGTCGTTCCTCTGTTAGCGGTTTGAATGAATGAAATACATAATTTTAACATACAAACATCCAGCAGACATAACATTTCAATTTAGATATTTGTTCCTCTGAATAAGATGATAAATGTTGTGTTGTACGAAATAATTGTAAGAAATCACAATAAAATATTGTTAGTGATTTATCAAGAGTTTCATTTACTGTGTTTATAAAACTAGCAATTAGGTCAAGTCACACAAATTAAACAACAATATTCCTATTTACATAATATATTTGACTTATACTATTTATTGAAAAATAACTTGTTCGTATTGTCATAAATTGCCGCCGCTAATTCGTCTATGTTTTCTTTTCTAACCGCTGCCAAAATCTCCAAAACTTGTCTGAAAAGAATAGAAGTAAATCAGCTTGAGGTTCTATTCTTGAGTTGGAGAAAGTTGTGCATAATCTTAAATAGGCAAAATACATTTTTGATTTAATTAATAGTTAAGTTTCTATCTGCCTATCCTTTGTTAGGGCATTGGACAAAAATACAAGTGGAGATAGTGTTATTGTTTACATATTACAAAATAACAGCTGGCGAGATAGAAACAGAATCCTGAAACTAAACTCACACAATATTTATAGGTTCATTTCTCCCCTTCACCTGGTTGTTAGAACCGACAGTATACTTTTCTTTCTTCACAGTCGGAAACTTTGTCACTACATGGGTGTAGCCAGGGTGCGTTGGTTTTACTTCACACCACGGACAGTCTGTTTCGATCATTAGCCGGTCTCTGGGTATTTTTGTCACAACTTCTAAGTTTTCTTGTGTTCTAAGGGAACTGCAAACAAATGAAAAAAAAATTACTTCACCTCATGTTAATATCAAGTGCATTCTGTTTCGTTCAACTTTTTTGCCAGTCTCGGAAGATTACACTTGTATAACAAATAAACCAGTAAATAATATGAATTTAGTAAATTAAATTTTCACTATGAAATGGAGAGAATGGAATGACATGGCGCCGATGCCAAGTAATTTGGGATAAGGTCAAGGAGATAATAATGAGAACTATCACTACAAATTCTGATGAACTAACCATCCATTAATACCTATATACATTCCCAAGTCCAATATCTTTTGTAGAGCGTCCTCGCTACCGTCGAAAGAGTGCACAACCCCTCCTACAACGGAGTCGCGGTTCTTCGCAAGTATTGCCACCAAGTCATCGGCGGCCGCGCGACAATGTAAAAAGAGAGGGAGACTGAACTCACGACTTAATTGCAATTGGTACTCGAAATATCTGAAAGAATTAAAGTATTTGTATTGTAACTTTCGTGAGACATACATAAATACATTATTATGTTTTCGGCTTATTCACGTATCAATTTGACGAGAAACTCGACTAGTTTCAAGCCATGCTAGATTCTCATATTCATAAGCAGCATTTCGCGACAGATTTATATACCCCAAAATACTACGTAAGAAAGCCGAAAATATTATAATTAATTTAAGTATCATATTACAAAGACATTTATAGTGATACTAGCTTCTGCTTTGCCCTAGTGCCCGCGGGTTTAAAGCCTATGTGTAATTTCAGACCCTAATCTTCCCCTTGTTACAAATTTTATTCTGATCTCTTTAGCCATTTTGACATGATTGAGTACCAAACAAATATACACCCAAACTCATTAGTAAGATCATCAATAACTGCTTATCACAACACTATTATACAATTTATTTCCAAGTACAAGTAAGTATTGCATTTTAATAAAAAATAATATTAATCATTTTGTTTACCCAGAAGATAAAGGTTATTGCAAACTATTGGCATGATTAACTTTTTTGTTTCACCAGTAATGAAACCTAATTTATATGTTATTAGATTACTGATTAGACAATACAAGGACAATAGCAAAAAGAACTAAGTCTATCAAACCTAACTAAACGAAGATCAATAAGTTAATATTTCAGGTACATATTATTTTGTCATGAGCTATTTTATATTCTTATACTATTTGAATAAAAATACATCATATTCATATGTAATATTTTGGAGTTTCCATTGATGAAATAGATGAAGCAGGAGGTAACTGTTGCAACAATCATTTTAAAAAATATTCCAAACACTCACTTGAGTTGTATATCTTTCTCACAGAAGTGTAGTCTCTCATAGTCCAGTCCACATTCACCGATGGCAACAACTTTGTCCTTATTGTCTTTTATTAAGGCTTTCAGACTATTCAAATATCCTTCAGCGTCCTGTAAGAAGTCATTACACCTGGTAGGATGACAGCCTACTGTTGCATACAACCTGGCTGAAAAGTGTTTCAAAACTTACAACATATAGTATCGTTTTTGCATACTTAAATTACACTTATTGGTGAGTTTTATTAAAATGTTAAATGCATGGGGGTCAACAGTTTTCTATTGCCAGTCAAAGCTTTAAGAGTTTTAAATGTAAATTATGTATCTTAATGGTCAATTTTATTAAAGGCTGGCTACTACCTGATCCTGGTCAAAGGTTAAGCATTACCATCCAACGTGGCAATGCTGCCAGCCTTTTGGGCAACCTTTCTCACAACTGTGATGAGGATAATTTTTTCAACATCATAATTCTTTTTATTTTCATTATTCAATTTTCTCTATTAATTTTAGTGTAAGGTGTGTAGGTGTACATTTTTTTCTTATTTCTAAAAATAACAGTTAGTATTTATTTTGTGGAATCGACTAATGTAAGTTAAACTGTCAAACACCAAGCGGTCACCGGTGACCGCGACCTATTGTTCTTTAATTGTGTCTATAAAACCGGTACTCGATGAGTTAAATAATATTTCTGAATAAATTTTATTAAAGGATGTGGTTTCATTCAACATCAGGTTCTAATGAACAGGGCTTTGTTCAGCAATAGATATCTTTTAGCTGATGATAACTATGTTCAATTAACTCGTCGAGTACTGTATTTATAGACACAATTAAAGAACAATAGGTTGCGGTCGACGGTGACTGCTTGGTGTTTGACAGTTTAAAGTACATTACATTAGTGACATCTAAAACGCAGGAATTGTTAAAAGAAAAAAAATATTTAAATTTAATTACATACCTATGTACTGTAAAAATTATATAAAATTAAACTTTAATTTTTTTTATTGTGTAGGTGGCAAACAAGCAGATGGAATGTAAGTTTGCTATCGGTTTGGTATAAAAGTTATTTAAGGCAGCATGCAGTAACTTAACTTGAGAAGTAAGTAAACAACCATGGTTTCTTAATCCTATACTAAGAGTTTGTTTGTTTCAACACATGCTAATCTCAGGAACTACTGGTCTGATTTGAAAATTCTTTGTATTGGGTAGTCCATTTATCGGGGAACATCACGCTACGAACAATAGAAGCCGGGCAGAGCGAGTGAGACCGCGTACAATTAGCTAGTAACTGATAAAGGTACATTACTTACAGTCGGATTGTGCCATCTCAATAGCTTTCTGACTGTCTGTCGTTGAGCCTCCTGTTATGATCATTTTATCCAGCCCCCCGTCCCAAGCCCGAGCTAAAACTGCGTCTAAGTCTGGCTCATGCTTTTTAGACCCATGGTACAAGCCCTGATACATTTCATCCGTCAGGTTCGCACCGATGTCTGAAATGTGATTAACAAAATATAGCTATGTAGCTAATAATGCATGAGTAATGCAGGTTTTTGAAACGTACGTATTAAATTTACTGTAGATAAAAAAATAATTATATTAGTCCGTGATCGAGAAAAGCATGGAAAACTTACCTATATATTTTTTTAGCGTAGCCATTCTTTTCATTAAATATATCGTACGCAAACAGTATTATATGGTAGTTTTTATTTTTATACCTATAATTTATTTGCAAATTCTTAATTATTCCTCTTAAAAATGGAAATTTTTACCAGTCGAGTCGACAGTAATAGTCGAACGAAACACCTGTTTTTGACATTATCGGCACTTTGGCAGCCGTGTCGACTATGCGTTTTTATGGTTAAATCACGTTCACGATCAAAATAATTCTTTATTTTTGGTTTGATATATCTGTTTCAATCTAAATGACCGACTGACTTCAACTCAAGTTAATTGTGTAAATTAAATATTTTCAAGAAATATAATTTATTATCAAAAAATATATATCTTTCATCATTGTATGTAATAAATCTAAATCAAACTTTGTAAACGTACGTCAACAAAATTCAAACAAAGAAAGAAGAGATTACATCAGGGTTGCCCTATGGGGTTGCCAGACATGCAACGTAAAAGTACTATAATTTACAACCCCCTCGAATTGATATTTGGATAAAACTGGGATTTAACATTGAATCTATTAAAGTAACAAACAAAATTGATAGTAAATATTACGTTCGAACAATTCAGAGGCCTTAGTAAGAGTTTGTTTTACGTTTAAAGTATTTGTTATATAAGTATATCTACCGGTTGTAGGTAGGTATGTCATCCACGAGCGGACCCAAAGAGTATAATAAGTATAGGAGTGGACCTGAGCTGTGTCGAGAACTGAAGTTTATTTGAAATTGGAAATCTTTAGATCCAGCAAAATCAAAAAAACATTTTTTATTTATTTCAGACATATTGGGTCCATACATTTACAGTTTATTATTATTAAATATATTTATCCTATAATTTAAAAGATTGATAATTGGGTGTTATTATGTAATTTACATTATAACACCGCTCTATCAATTTTTTATTATGTTGTTAATTTAACCAATGTCAATTTAGGTAAAGTATTATCACTTCTAACAAATAAAAAAGAAGAAAAACAACATTATTTTTACAATAGAAATAAAGCTATATCGCAAAGAGTTTATGCATTTCGCAAGGGTATGGTAGTCTTATTATTGTTGGTAACACTCAAAATCAATCAATACAAAGTGAAGTGAAGCCATAAAACTGCCATACAAACAAAACAAAGCATTTACACAGCATTCGAGCTTCGAGCCGTGTTCCGATTGCTCATTCGTTTTCGGTACATATTGTACGTGAATAATTTATAATTTTTGTAAATAAAATTGTGAAATTATTGACAATGGCGTTCGCAAATTTTTCTAAGGCCGACGCTAACTGGCAGTCCCACTCACAACAGCGGTATGTGAATTTTATTGTTTATTTACTTATGTATAAACTTGCAAACAATGCGATGTCTGCGCTGCAAGCTTTGTTAGGTAGCATAAGGCTCTCTTTGTAAATTAAGATGAGCTGTGTCAAGGACCGAAGGACGTTTCTTCTTTTTGCGATTAAGCTAGATATTTGCGAAAATGAAATCATCATAACAGACATAAATGCAAGTTTTATAGAATAATACGTTTCATCTATTGTTTACAATCTGCACGTGGCTTTTAGTGTTTATATCACTAACAAGTAGAATAACTGCAAGCTAAGTTTGTTTGTAATATCTAATACAATATTTAAATAACATCTACTGACCAAACATTGTTTTATATACAAGCGGCATATACCTAGGCTTAGTGCCGTATTAGAGCTAAGGCAAACTAGGCAAGTCCCTATGGCGCGGGTTACAGGGGCGCGGTAAAGACGCGAGACGCACGTGCCCATAGTAGAATGACGGCGACGCCAAAAAAATTAGGTGCTTGCTGAGGACGCTTTCTGGGATTAATTTGCCTCTGCTAGGTACAATGCGATGTCATTTATTAACACGTTAAACACCATGGCAGTCACCGGTGACCGACATTAGTGGAGGATTTGCCTTCTTTTTTATTGGCAGCCAAAGCCTTAACTGAGATTCTAGTTTGTTGAATAATTATTCATTAAAAGTAACTACTTGATGAGTTTGGAAGAAGTTGTATAGAGATAATAATAATATATTTATTTGCTTAAAACATGGTATAAAATAGGTGTTACAAAAATATGGTTGAAGTACAACATGTTTTGCTAATATTTATATAGCATGCAAAATTAGGAAAAGTTCTAAAATTAACATCCTAGGCGTGAGGTTAATTTCCTCTGCATAAAAACACTTATACAATAATAGTTTTGTTCATTAAGCCATTTGTGCAATTTACGCTTAAATAGATTTATATTAAAACATTTCAAATCATTTGGTATATTGTTATAGATAAGGATACACATAGCCAAGCAATTCTTATTATATTTTGCTGATCTAGGAAAGTCATTTAGTACAAGTCTAAATGGATCTCTGCGATTTCGTGGATTGACATCATTTGCAGTTTTAAATAAATCTTTGTTTTTTGTAACGAACATACATACTTCATAAATGTAAAGCGACGGTAATGGTAACAAACCAAGTCTTTTGAATATTGGTTGGCATGACTGATCAGGTTGCAAACCGTACATAGCCCTTATGTACTTTTTTTGTGTGATAAATGCCTTATCCCTATCCGTGCTATATCCCCACATTATTAGGCCATAGCGAAGCAAAGATTCTACAGATTCTAAAGATAACTGAAGTTTGTATAGTCTGAAATAAAAAATCCTGGGAATGTGGGGGAAGCCGCTGGCAGGAACTAGTCAATTATAAATACTTCAGATAGTGCTCCAATAAAGGCTTTGCCTTAATACTAGTTTTTCCCTATCTATTCTGGTTCACTGAACTCTTATGGAGTCTTTTTTTATATGGTGGCTAAAAAGCACATGTTCCACTGGGTTGTAAGCAATTACCGCGGCCTATGTAGGCTTGTAACACTTGGAGCATTAGGTACATGCACCTTGCAGACCCTTTTATTTTCTGGTGGACAAAATATGACAGCAAACAAAACAACTCTACTTATAGTCTGATTCCCCCAAGTCCTTTTTGTCATCGAACTATCAGATAATCGGTAAAACGCCACCGCTTCATGGTGGATATCTTATTCACACCCACAAAACGTTTTACCCCAAGATTTTCCCTTACAACCAGTTAGGAGTGGAATCATCATAAGTTGTATTCTCAAGTTAATGGCCAAATCTGTAAAGAATTATACCTTAAAAATAGCTGTACTTTTTTATACATGTCACCTTTTTTAATAACATAGAAAAAAAACATGAAATATAATAAAATAATAAATCATTTATTTCTCGTAACCAAAACTCACACAATGTTTGTAAAACTTACATCTACTTATTAATCACTATTGTTATATTGTACAAGGTGCATGCTACCTTAAGCCATGGCAAATAGCATTACATCGTACCATGTATATGCAGTCCAGCCTCTCGCAATTATGCTCAGGATACTGTTAGAACTGGCCCGCACCCTGCTTACCAGGGAAGCACACCTTTTGCACATTGTTAATATCACCCACTCACTGTCTTTTCTCAAAAATATTCTATTAGTTTAATCATTCTTAAGGTTTGAGTTTACGCACTGTACTAGTTTTACGGTAACTGTCTAAGATTTATTATTTTTTGTCATATACCAATTCCTGGTAGGAATATCAGATTCCAAGTTAGTATTGAGATTTTTATGAAAAATCCAAACAAAATTTTATTTTTTTCAATTTGCATCTTTAATAAAAGTTTAAATAACTAAGTACATAATTTGATGAATGAATGTCAAATGATGAAAGTCACATGATGAAACACACAAAAAAAATGAGAGGTCACAATCGTAAAATTTATAGTAAACCTACATTCTTCTGATAAAATGCACAGAGTTCCTTCCTTGTCAACCTTAATGAAAGCTTCTTGGAATACCTTTATTAAGAACACTGATTCGCCTTGAACAACACCTAACGCAGGTTCCTCAAACAGTTTGGACAATCCAAGCTGTTAGTAAAAATATGTGTCCTTTCAACCAGTGATTTGTAATTGCTATATTATCTAAATAATATCGCTGTTTGTAATTTTCTACGTCTACGCTTTTCTAAAATTAAAATAGTATATGTTACTCCTTAGTACATGCCAATAAAAGTCCCGTTAAATTCGATACCGCCATTTTATAGATTAGCCAGTACAAACAGACAGACAAAAATGAAAAAAAGTGTTATTTTGGTATATGTATCGTATGTTTATTCATAATTTATTATGCATGTAGTAAAAAGCTGTTATTTATTTTAATATTACAAACAGACTACCATTTTAAATAACTGTATAGCTAGATAAATATGGGTGCTTAGATGAGAGTGATATAGGTATGTGGTATATCGCTAGGGACATAATTATGTATATATTTTTCTAACATATTAGAAATTGTATTTTACCATTAGGTATGATTTATATTTATTACTTTCTCATTGTTTTAAACTCAAACTCAAAAGAATTTATTGCAATCAAACTAAAATTTGGTACTTTTTGAACGTCAACAAATATAAAATACATTAGTCTGTCAGTGAAGCTAGGTGCTCGTTCCGAAATGTCATTTATCTATCTTACCGCGACTTGCATTGTGTTTATTACTATACTATCCACTTCCACACTGTTTCACCCGCCCTGCTCGGCGTTTTGATAGTAGCGTGATGTTCTACAGCCTATAATAGCCTCCCTCGATAAAATTGGGCTATCCAACACAAAAAGAACTTTTAAAATTGGACCAGTAGTTCCTGCAATTACCGCGTTCAAACAAACAAACTCTTCAGCTTTGTATATAATATAAGATTACGAAAAAACTACCAAAAGGGAACATAGATAGACTATTTAGCCTAGAATAACACATGTGAACGCGGATGAAGCTTCTGTGGCAGAATTATCATCATCTAGTGCATATTGATATCATATTACATACCATAAAATAGGTTATTGTTATTAAAGATTTAATCAGTTAAGCATAATATAAAAAATACATGTTGCAACATCATCATAACTTATACCTTAAAGTTATGATGATGTTGCAACATGTATTTTTAATAATACAATAATACCTTTGGTAGGATATTGTTTAAGTCCAATTGCTCCTAACTTCAAACTTGGCCAACTCCAATCTGACATTGTCTTTATTCATTTGTGTCAAGACTTCATCGATGATTCCTTCTTCTGCGAATTTCTCGAGCACGGAAGGTAGACCGTCTGCTTCGTTCGGGAGCCCTATGACTATTTCGAAAGAAGTTTTTTTGTATCTTAACCCCACCAACTACAAACATGAAGTAACGTTTGTAATGTTTTTTTTTGTAGTTAATATATTAAAAAGTTTGTTTACTTAGCACCTAATTCAGGACTCTCACCATAATAGAGAATTTTGTCTATGAATATAGTTGGCTTTTGAACTACTTGGTCCTTGCTGATATGGAAATCTTTGTTTTTGTGTACTTATATAGGCTCGAAGGGTATCTCCCAATTGCCCTGAAATTTGGAAAATATAAGATGTTGTTTTTATTTATATAATAACTATAGTGAGACATACTAAATTAACTAAAAATCGCAGGTTACTCACGTGAAAATACTGAGAACGCACCACCTAAGAATTGAGGAATTTCATTCTGATGTGCACCAAAACTAAACAAGACCAACAGGACCATAAGACTGAGATGCGACAACGTTTTTGTCACCTGCCAAATTGTAAGCTTCCTGCATACGTATTCAAAGTCATAATATTAAACGGTTTTATTTAGCTTGCCGTGTTTGTTTGGGTCTAAAGTGATTGGAATTTTAACCCTTCCCTGACGATAGATCGATTTGGTTCACACTCTTAATCTTGATGACCATAAAATCTAATTTCTTTAACATGCGCCAAGCCTGGGTCTTTTTTCAAACTTAGTGAGCATTTTCCTTTAAAGCACTGAATTCACCAAAATACTGAGTTTCAGAAGAAAAATAATTTTAAAATCGAAATCTTAAATTGTTGGCAGGTTTATGTTGCTGGTTGTCATCCGTAAAGAAAGTAGTTTGCATTTCTTCTTCGTTGTCTAAATTATTATTGCTTGACTTTTCTTTCAACTTTGAAGAATGGCATTGCCTAGCATCACGGCATTAGTAATTTGCCGTTGGACGTAAAATATTTCAGTGAAATCACGTTGTGTTTCGTCATTTCACTTGATATATTTAGTAAGAAGACTGGAATGAAAATATTCAATATCCCCAGGAATTTTGTGAAATCCCGAATTTCTCGCTGGCGGAAATTTCCGTAAAGAATAGCAGTAACGACAGACGAACTGTCTTTTGGCTTGGATTTTTTCTTACGTTCTAACCCTTTAATAGTAACAAAACTAACAGAAACAAAATTAGCGAAATCGATTTTGCTGTTATCGAGTCTTAAGATTTGCGCTTAGCTTTATGGGATAGACCAGCAAACGAGCAGACGAATCACCGGATGGTAAGCAATCGGCGCCGCCCTTGGACAAGTTTATTGTTTTTCAACAAATGTAAATACAGGTGTTACGTGTTACATTAAATAGAAAATCAAATTGTGGACCCTGTTGGGCACAGCACTTTATTATATGAAACAGGATTTAGGACGCTCGCATTCCCATGGGTTCAACCTGTGTAATTCCAAGCCAAACCATAATCTACCTGTTCTGTATTTCATCCCGAGCCCTTCAGCCCTTTTGACGTGATTGAGTACATATACGGAACTTTCGCATTTTTAGGTCTTGCATATTTACGTTGCACTTACACGGCACGGTGTGTTTTTTACACACGTTAATAGTATTTATGAAAGATGGCAGATAGACATTTTAACAATTGCACTCTGATAAACGTTACTTATAAATAAAAGTAGATACAGCCAATTGCCACTAAACAAATTAAGATTAGTCGACAGTCTTCATTAATTTTCTAATTGAACAATATTTGCAACCCCGATTAGTACTACTACTACTGGAAAGAAAACTTAATTGGCTGGGTGTGGTAAAATCTCCTTTTTTTCTTTATTAAGGCACAACTTGGAAGCGGGCGCCGTGCGGTGGCTGTACACGATGGCGTATAATCGCATCATGTCGCCACAACATGTAGTTACGTCATGTCCCTGCGGTCGTGATTTAAAACAAATAAGGTACAAGTTGGAAGCAGGCGACGTGAGGTGACAGCGGACGACGTATTGTCGCTTCATGTCGCCACGATATACTCGTTACGACCTTTCACTGCAGTTATGATTACGAACTATAAAATGTACAAGTTGGAAGTGAGCGAGGTGATGTGGCGGCGGACGACGTGTTGTCGCCATCGCTACAACACGTCGCGTTGTTACGGTCTGTCACTGCAGCCATGATTACGAACTATAACAGTGGCACTACTGATCCGCGATCGGTCGATATTGTTGTTTGCCGCTCGACGATGCGTCGCTAGTTTCGTGTCGCTAACTACGGAGTGAATTTCATAGAAATACATTGAAACCAGTAGTGTCGCTCGCGACACGTCGTCCGCTGCTGCCTCATGTCGCCCGCTTCCAACTTTTACCTTAACAGCGGCACTATTGATCCGCGGTTGGGCCGTGGGTGACACTGTTGTCTGCCGCTTGTCGACGCGTCGTTAGCTTCGTGTCGCTAACTATGGAGTTAATTTCATAGGAATACATAGAAACTAGTAGTATCGGTGCGACACGTGGCCACTGCCTCGTGGCTCGCGTCTAACTTGTACCTTAAAGGTACGTACTACACTTGTACGTAGCCGTAGAAGTGTCGCCCGACTGCAGATCAGTAGTGTCGCTGTTATAGTTCGAAATCCTGCAATGACAGGTCATAACGACGTGTCGTGGTCGTGGCAATGTGAAGCGGAAACACGTCGTCTGCTACCACCTTACGACACCCGCTTCCAACTTGTACCTTTAGATGCTAGTGTCACAGGTTTTCTGTTATTTGTGAAGAGAAATCTATACGATCATTTTAAAGTTCAATGATCATTCACATTTGTTCATTATACACAAATACCCTACTAAAAGATACTTACTTATATAACCAATATTCTTTTCTTATCTTTTCAGGATAGAAACTACTGAAGTCGTTCAAAAAAATAACTCGTTGACAGCAAAGGTCTCTGTCACAAACTACAATATACCGTTTGCTACCAAAACAAGCCGCGAATACGTGATCGGTGGCGTAGTGAGCTTTCAGATAAAGGTCGTTACAGCCATGGTCAGCAACGGACACACGATGGTTTACAATAACTTGATATTTGTACAGTTCCTCAAACGGCGACAGAACGATGAACTCACCTATTCGATCAAGTTTGCAGCCCCAGAACTACACATGCGGGACAAGCAATTCACCAGTGACGACGGCATGTGGCACTTGATTCACGAGAACAAGCGCCAGCAGTATACATTCGAAGTAAGCGTACAGTTGGAGGTGATGCCGCGCGTTAACGCGTTTGCGATCTTGTATAACGACGAGGAGTTGACAGATTTTGAGCTGCGCGGGGTCGACGGGTCAGTACGCATGCATCGCGCCGTGATGGCGGCTTCCAGCCCCGTGCTGAGACGTATGCTTGGTGGCATGTGGCGTGAAACCACTGAGGGCTGCGTCGATATGGCCGGCACCACACGCGCTACACTGCAGGACCTCAAGAACTACGTGTATATGCGCACATTGCCCGACTCAGGGCTGGAGGAGCTGTTGCTGCTCTCGTCTTACTACATGATGCCAGAGCTGGAGAAGCGGTGCGTAGACAAGATCGTGCAAAACATAACCGCGAGGAGCGCCTTCGAAGTGATCGAGTTCGCGGCCAAGAATAAGATGACGCAGCTGATGCTGGCGGTGCTGGACTGCGTACAGTCCGGCTCTATCTGCGTCACCGAGATGCGGGATCACCTCCAGCAGCCTGAATGAGCCCACGCTACTGCCAAGCTATGGTTTATGCTTGGACAAAAACTACAAACACTACTCTTAACTCTTTCACTGTACCTACGTGGACGTACAGTGAAATATTAAAAATTAAAATAAGTTGATTTAAAAAAACAAGGATCGTATTACCCCAGAGCGTACAAATGTGAAATTTTGCTATCAAAAACTAAGGATAGCTAATGAAAGTGAATATTTTTTAATATCGAAGAGTTGAAATAATTTAGTTTTGACTTAGACAATAATTCAGTTTACAATAAGGGGCACGCATGTGAAGCTCCATCATGACCAAATGAAACTTAATAATGATATACAAAATTGACGACAATTTAAAATTAGGATAATGGCAGCTATAACGACGATTATCGTAGCGGAAAGTTTTATAGCCCTTTCCGATATATGGACTATGGACTATTCAACAGCTTTATAATAAAAAAGTGTAGTTTATCATGTATCATTGTGTCTGTGTGTATTGGTATTGAGCTGAGGAATACTGTCTCTGTGTGGTGTACTGTGTGTTGATATTGATGCACATACTTTTTCACATGGAGCCAACGCACCATGTACAAATGTATGTGTATGTACAAATAAATCCAAAGAGGTTCTATCGTAACATTATCGATTAAATTCATCTTTTTAATAACAATAAATAGCATCTAGATCAGTTCTAAAGCAACCTACTTATATTGCTACTTGCTATTCGATGTATGAATAGTTCTTCAGTTTTAGCTCCATGTACTGACAAAGTACGTAGGTATATCAGGGTGTTTAAGTGTTTGTACAAAATCGCTACCATGTCGATCGTCTCCTTTACAGACGAAATATAGTATCAGTAGGGTTTATTTTGTATTTTTATTACCTTAGGGTTATTATCGTACTATTTTTGTACTGTTTTAACTGACTGCAGGTATTTCCAGTCAGTTAACGATTAAAAAGCAATTGTGTGTGTGTGTGTGTTTATTATGATGTAATGCTCATTCTTTGTAGTTTTTAAGTTCAGTAAGTATAATAAAATATACGTTGAGAAGTCAAACTCATAAACGTGACGTTTGTTGAGAATGACGAATTTGGAATGGGATCTCTACAAATTCGTAATTTCATTTTTGTTAATCTATTTCGACCGAATCAAAGTTAGGAGTGGGAGCTAGCTACGTCATTTGCAAGTATAACACGTATCTACATAGAAGTGACGGCACGCGATATTTTAAATCAATATTCAGTCATATCAGTATTTCCTTCCGTAAATAAATAAAAAAAGAATTATAACACGACTTCAAAAAAAGGGGCTGAAGGCTGTTTTTTTAAACGTTATTCATAAAAGAATATTCTACTCCATTGTTTTAAATGGTCATGAGGACTGGGTGAGATATCCCCGATCTGGCTGAAAACTTTTTGTGTTTATTTACTAAAATCATTTCAGTCGCTAGACTTTTAATCAGTTTTTTGTTTTTGTGTGAAAAATGGGTTTTGATGATCTACTGTCAAATGCCGTGCTCTCAATTCTCAATACCCTTGTAGTTTATTTTCAGCAAAACCATATCTGCAGTACCAACCTATCCTCGTTTTTAATTCTACCTACATCTTACATGCATTGTATCTGTACCTTCTCAACAAACGCCGCTTACCTACATGTCTTCTCAATCGTTGCTTACCTAGGTACTTGTCTTCTCAATCGTTGGTATATTTTATTATAATAAGTATAATTATGACTGAACCCCAAATATTACGTAATTATGTAATCTTACTGTGGAATTAAGACTGGTTTTATAAATTGACTGACATTATTTTTGATTGTGATAA